GCTCCCCAGCCAGCTCTGCCTCCGGTGTTGCAGCCGTCTTTCCTGCCGGCTCGACTCTCTGCGTTACAGTTGGCTTCCCTGCCAGCTCTGCTGTCGGCGCTGTCGGAGCCTCTCCTGGCTCCACCCCCGGCTTTCCACACTGCCGGGCACAGCGGCTGATTCCCTCCATGTGAGGGCTCTTCCCTCCAGCCTCCACTCATCAGCCGCCCCGCCGCATCGTCGGGGCCGCTTTTTATCTCTCCCGGGTGGCGTCTCCTGCCCACGCTGCTCGGCCGCAGCTATATATACATGCGGCTAATCACTCTCACCGGTGGTTTCGCCACGCGCCTCTCCTCCGTCTCTTCAGGCTCTACGAAAGGTGAGTGGGGCTCTCTTTCAGCCTGGGGTCCTCCTGCCACCCCAGCTCCCCTGGGACACTGACTGATTTGCCAGCTTGGCAATGGGTAGAGAAAGTGATCAACTCGTGATCACTGTCTCCCAGCATCACTTCGATTCTCAGGTTGCTCACTAGATCATCCGCTTTGGCCAGTACCAGATCCAGGAGTGCCTTACCTCTTGCTGCCCCGTAGACTTTTTGAGACAAGTAGAGTTCATCAATGCAGGTGAGAAAGTTATGTGACAGATCAGATTTGACAGAGTGCGCCTCCCGTGAGATGTCAGGGTAGTTGAAGTCACCCATGGCAACCATACACTGAGAGCATGCAGCCTCTGCCCAGGGGCAATGCATAGGGGGTGCACGTGCACCCCTTAAGCGTGGTGGTGCACCCCCTGCAAAAAGACACTGCCAACACCACTGGCGGCATCTGCAGGCGGTCCACGATCACCACTGGCGCCGCTGCTGCCGGCAGTGGCTGTGGGTGGTCGCTGACCGCTAACTGGCTCTCACCACCTCTTCCTCCCCCTCACCACCTCCAGTGCCGGCGGCATCTGTGGGAGCTCCCTGGTTTACCACTGCTGGGCTCCCACCACCTCTGCCATGCTCCCTCCGCCGCCAGCGCAGCCATGCTCCCCCAGCTGCTGGGGGCACACATCATTCATGCCTCTGTCAGTTCCCTTGCAAATGCGTGGTCAAGATCTTCCTCTTGGTTAGGAGGCCTGTAGTAGACTCTTGCCATTATATACCCTTCACCACGTTCCCCCTGTAATCTGACCCAGAGGGTCTTGAGTCACCCTTCTTGGGTGTCATACTCCACTTGTAGGGAAGTGTACTGCTCCTTCACATAGAGAGCTACACCCCTGCCCTTTCTAGCAACACGATCCCTCCTGTACAAGGTATAACCATCTATACCTATGGTCCAGTCATAGGTGCAGTCCCACCAGGTCTCTGTTATTCCTATGAGATTGTATTAATTTTTGCTTAGCAGCAGGGCCAGTTCCCCAGGCTCCTGGCATTTGTGTACAGGCAAGTAAGCCTGCCATCGGAGGTCCTAGGCTTCCCAGCATTCCTAGAAGAGTCCCATCCCTGGGCTGGGGTAGGAGTGAATTCCCTTGGGAGTTTACTTGTGTCCCTTGTGTTGCATGACTTAATGATTCTGCAGTTGATGTTTGGTGGACTTGAACTGCTGCTTGTCCGCCCATCCCCCAGCAAGCTTAGTTTAAAGCCCTGTTGAGTAGATCAGCCATTCTGGCTGACCCATCTCAAACCGGTTTGGGCTATTTTGAAACTGGTGTATGTGCACTGAGCTTCTGTTCTGTTCTGTTTAAACAGGTTTAAACCAGTTTTTGATCACTTAAACCTATCTATGTGTAACTTGTGTCCCTAGCCTCCGAGTCCTGTGATACATTTAAACAATAGAAGGGCAGGAGAGAAGAGATTTATACCCCTACTGAAATGCTGAAAATCATTCTTAGTATCATGATACTACCGTCTACCCTTGAGCAATAGGAAATAAGTATCTAATGTATGTTCCATTGAATAGATAACTGCTATTGACCTTCCTAGGATTTAGACAGAGCCCCAAGAAAGCTTAATTTAGTGATGAAAATGTAAGTGAACAATAAAACTAAAAAATCTCCACAGATGCATCTGATTTGGGAATGTACACATTCACATTCTGCTGGATTCCATTTTTTTAAATAATTGTTTAATAATCAAACTAAATCTTAATAAGAAAAACCATGATGATAAAGTTTTAATAACTACATATCAAATGTTTTCATACTCTACATTTTTGCTACATATTAATGATGATATGATATATTTCTGTGTCCCTGTAGATATCGTACTAATCCACTATTGCTTGCTGCTTCAGCTGGAGCATTGGACACACTTCAGTATTTGTTTTCTCTTGGTGCCAATTGGAAAAAAACTGATAGTGAAGGAAACAACATAATTAATTTAGCAGTGCTGTACTTTCACACAGAAATTCTTAAACATCTAATAGAACTTAATAATCCAGATCTTCCAGTTTGGATTACTCTTGTAGGTAAGCACACAAATTCTTTCTCAAAGAAACATTCACTTTAACCCCTGCCATTTTCTCTAAAATGATGAGAACACACCTATCTGAAATTCTTTCCAAACCACACTACAAATAATGAGAAATACAATTTGAATTTTGGACCGGTAAATTATGTCTCTAGTTGCCCTTGGGTACATTCATTTTCTTGTGTAGGGTTGTGCAGGGATAATTTAAATCATTCTGGTTCATACCTCTTAGTTTGGATGTAAAATATATCAGATTGCTACATGAAGTGTAGCATTTCTAGAACGCATCCTTATGAAGCTGTTTCAGTTACAGTTGGGATCACTATATTTTACTGTTATATACCTTTGCTCTTTATCCCACTGTTTCATGTCCTTATCCTTCAGATGCAATGCTTGCTTAGTTTTATTCCTGTGAGTAGTCCCATTGAGCTCAGTGAACTGTTCAAATATTAAAAATGCTCATATGTGTAAATGTTTGCAGGATTAGGACCTTCAGCTACAGATCAGAAAGACTTATGTCAACCTTTCATAATGCAGAAGCAGGATCAGCAATTTAATTTTTAAAATTAAACCTTACAAACTCATTTTTTTATACTGGCGTGCCCATAAAAATATAATCTCACTCACAGGCAAAGTTCGTTGAGTAGATGTGATATCTATTATTAGACCAACTGAGTAGTTGGGAAAAAGTTCTTAGCAAGCTTCCAGGCGCAGTCACCCTTCTTCAGGCATAGGGAGTCTCTGCTGTTCTAAGACTCCAAGAAATGAGAGAAGTTAAAAGTGTGGCAGGATGTCAGTGAGAATGTAAATAGGTATAATTAGAAAGACAAAAGGTAAAGTAGAGAGGGGAGGGGGAAGAGAGCAGGGGAAGAAAAGGCTAAAGGGAGACATTACAGTGACGAGAGGTGCATGTAAGAAAATGGCTTTTTCTAGTTGTAATAGGAATTGTCCTTTACCCAAGAACTTTCCTTCATTCAGTAATTAACTCATCGTGCTTGACTTTAGCACAATTAAGATATATGGGGCTTTTTTACATGTACTCTTGGGGTGGTGGGGGGGGAGGTTGAGAGGCAAGCACTTTAATTAGAGCTGCTCCAAGAGTTGCTCTAAAGTGCGCAGAGCATCTCATGTATCTGTGTCCCTGTGCTTCAAACTGGCAGTGAGGGCACTTTATCGAAAGCTCGTTGAACAAGCTTTTGTTAAAGCATCCCTGCCACCATTTTGAAGCACAGGGACATGGAAGCTGACTGGAGCATAGTAACTACCACGCTTCATCAGACTCGAGTAATCATAATTAATCATAATTACAGCATGTTGGAGCAGCCTCCCGGCCCATGTATAGGGTCTTTGTAGTCAAGGTATTAAGTAGAATAACTGAAAAAGTATTTTACTTTTAAAATTAAACAATCTTTAGTTTCCATTCAATTACAGTTGTGTTGTGCAAAGAAAATGTTTTTTAAAGTGTTTTACATTCTCAATAGAGATGTTACAGTGTGAAGATTCTACGAGGAAAGAAATGGCAGTTAGGTCCTTGGAAGTACTCTGTTTAGCAAAAGACTTCTACTGGAAGTGCATTTTGGATGCAGGTGATATAAACAACACAGCAAGTATACTTGAGATTTTGTTGTATTTGTTGTAACATCTTAAATTGATTGGTCTTTGTAAATTAATTATGGTGTCAACAGTTGTTATCAAGAAAGTGGAATAATGAGGGATTTCACAATTGTATGTCCAAAAAACCAACATGAAGAATTTCAGGTCAGTTCAAAATGAAGAGAATAAAATATCTGATAAGTTAAATCTGTACATAGGTCAAAGTATAAAACAGTTGCCTCTCTTAAAGGACCATTTCAGCTGGAAAGAAAGTTTTAAACACAGCCGATGAGGAGAATGAGGTGCATCAGAATGGGATCCAAAACAGCCAACAGATTAAGGACTTGGGGACAGGAGTATAATGAAACTTCCTTAGGGCACAGTCAGAACCCAGAATCTGAAACCATCTCCTGAAGATAGGGACCTGTGCTATTTTTTTTTTAACTGAGCAGAGTTTACTCTTTCCTTTTAGAACATGAACTGTTGAGATGGTGGTGCCCAACTTTTGCATAAATGCAGTGGTTGAAGCACTTACCCAGGAAATGAGGAAAGCCAGGTTAAACCTATTCTCTAGCCTGAGGTGTTTCAGACCCACAGCTTGACCTCTCAGAAGAGTAGTTTAGCTGTCAGAATATAGGGGAGATTACATGGATGGGAAATTCTCCACTTTTTTGTTTAAGTTGTGCTATAGTGCAGAAAAGAATTTGAGGTATACTGAGCTAGGAAGAGCACCAAGGAGAGGTACTAGACTGTAGTCTAGTGGTTAAAGTACTTGTATTGTGGGGGAAGAATGGGGGTGTTATGGGTTCTGCTCCCAGGACTCTTTCACATATTTTATACAATGACTGTTTAGCGTGTGTGTGTGTGTGTATAAAACACACACACATATTTTGCCACAGTGACTGCAGTTGAGGTTGTTTTCTTTCTTGCAGGTACTATACCCGCTCTAATCAATTTGTTAAAAAGCCAGCCGATCAAACTGGCATGTACAGCTTCAGGAGTTCTGAGTAACATATCAACACATCTTCCCATTTCAAAGGCCTTTGTAGAAACAGGAGGCATTTCAGTGTTAATTGAGTTATTGAGTTCTGGTGAACCTGAACTTCAGTCTCGCTGTGCTGTTATCCTATATGATATTGCCCAGTTCGACAGTTATCAGAATATCATTGCTGAGCTGGTGAGTCCTAATATAAGAACTGATAGTTATGTTCACATTCTTTACCTTTTAAGGATGGGAATTTATTTGTTTACTTTTTCTAAAATTAAGTCATTTTCATAATTGGCATAACCTATTTCACTTTTATCTCAAAAATACAAATATAGGTATCAATATAATATGCTACGTGACATAAAATTGCAGTGACCTTTTTTAGGACTGTTCCATATTACAGAAATGTGTTGTGCTTTTTTTTAACTCATTTAGGGTGGAATTCCTCCTCTAATAAATCTTTTAAAAAGTAAAATACAAGATTTATTAGTGAATGTGATAAACTGCATCAGAGTGTTATGCATCCAGAACAAATGTAATCAAAATGCAATCTGGGAACACCAGGGTATTCCATTACTTGTTAAATTCCTAACTTCAGAGTCAGGTAAACATTCATTTTTATATGTTCATTTTGTACTCTTACTATCAACATTTTAAAAGTGTAAACTTTCACTGATAATCCTGGTTTGAATTGTGCATTTTCTTGAATATCTTTAGGTCTGAATCAGAACCATTATATTTAATCTGAAGAATTCCACTGATTTGAATGGACTTTGAATAATGCTTTTGTTGCCCATGCCAGTCAATATTGATTTTTTTGCTTCCTGCACAGGAGACTAGATTTCCAAACTATCTGTATGTAGATTACATACAATTGCCTTCATACAATGGAAAATTGTCTTCATACGGTAGGTGATACTGTTTAATATAAAATGCCTCGTGTCCCTGAGAGAAAAGCTTGACAGGGAAAAATGGCATTAAGAACTGTCCTCTGTTTCACCCTGTGCGACTCCATTGATTTGAATGGGGTTGCATGACAAGTAAATCATTGTAAATGTTGGTACAATATATATTTATTTGTATTGGGTTTGAACAATTACATAACCCATAGTGTGTGACAGCAAGCCCTGTATGTACAATTTATTGTTGACAGTACAACAGTGCTCTCCAACCTTTTTGGGGGTGAAGATCACTTTTTGAAATAAAGGACAACCCAGGATCTACTGCCCCTCCCCCCTGTGTTAGCAGATTTTCCCATTACTTTGGGGTGTGCTATTTTATTAGGAACACATTTCTAGGGTCTTGGTAATTCTATCAATGTGCTGCTTGTGTTACTTGTGTTTCTATACGGAGCTGTATCTCTCCCTTCTGCAAGTCCTCACCCCCAATGGAGCTATCTTGCAGGACTCAGTTTCAATGGGGCTGGGTTCCTCCAGTCACCAAATCAGTCATACGCACAAACACACACAGATTAATGTGACACGCCTGACCCAGCTGGGTTGATCAGCATGGACAGGCTGACACTCTCATATGCCAAGAATCAGTTCATCAGAGCAACAATAAACTGCAGTTAGACACAAGCACACAGGTAAACAGAATCCCTCTGAATCCGGCTGGGTGTCCAGCTGACACCCTCATGGGCTAGCATTTAGTTCATTAGGGCACGTCGGAGCCAAACTGGGTCAATTAGCCTGTACAAGCTGATCCCCTTACATGTTTCAAACTCAGCATGTCCCAATTTTAGCCCCTTGATGAGCAGACCCCACAGTATTTTTGGGCTTCACAGGGATCTTTAGCTTAGGTAAAAGATGTGTTGCTGCAGAGCACGTGAGGAAGGAGAAGCAGAGAAGGAAAAATATACCCAGTTACTACCAGTTTGACTATAAAAGTTATTTATTGCTAAGTATATGAAATACATAATGGCACTAGTAGTAATAGACATGCAAAAGAAAAACAAACACCAACAATTACAGTATTACCCTGGTTTCACTAAGTATTTGGGGAAACTTAGCTATTCCTAGAGAAAAAAAAGAGAGAGAGAGAGAGTACGCGCTGAGATCTCACCAATCCAAGACCCTTGGGTCTCAAAGCTGACAGGCAAAGTTCCTAGCACAATCCTTGAAGGGAGACGATATGTTCTTCCAGCGTCCCGAGAACAACAGCGGGTGGTGTCAGCACACACACTGTTGCTTTTTTTTACAGATTTTTATACCCTCAGTTCAGCTTCTTCAAAGCATTCTCAATAGTGTAAATCATTGTCTTTTCTATTGACAAGGGGTTATCTGGTTTGGAACATCTCAAGAAACTGATTGATAATCAGGAAACA